GGTAGAAGCCACCTGGTCTTGGGCTTTTCTTTGTTGGGAGGTTTTTATTACCATTTCAATCTTCTTGGTTGTTATTGGACTGTTTAGTTTTTCTATTACTTCATGATTTAGTCTTGGTAAGTTATGTGTAAATTTTTCTTTCAACTCTTTTAAATTTACTAAGAATGGTTTTATGGCAATAATTTGGTGTTCCTTAATGAAGAAAACATTTATCCTTGAAAAGAATGTGTGTTCTGAAGTCGCTGGGTATAATGTTCTAAAAATGTCAATAAGGTCAAAATGACTGTTAGTGTTGTGCAGATTTTCTATCCTTATCAATATTTTTGTCTGGCTCTCTCAAAAAAAGAGTGTTAAAATCTTTAACTGTAATTATAAATTTGTCTAGTCTCTCCTTAATTCTATCAATTTTTGCTTTATATTTTTGAGGTGCTGCTATTAGATGTGTATACATTTATGATAGTGATGTCTTCTGGATGAATTCACCCTTTAGTCTTTGGAAATGTCCCTCTTTAACTCCACTCTTTGTATGTAACAATATATTCTTTGTTACGAAGTCTACTTATCTGATATCCAGCCTTCTTATGTATATTGGTTGAATGATATATACTTTTCTATCCATTTACTTTCAACCTATCTGTGCTTTTATATTTAAAGTATACATCTTGTAGACAGCAAATCGGAGCACCTTACACTTTTATCCATTCTAATAATCTCTGTATTTTAATTAGAGTGTTTAGTCCATTAATAGGGGTGAATTTATGTCTACCATTTTATATTTTGTTCTCTGTTGCCACTCTATTTTTTTTATTCTTCTGTTTCTCCTTTCTTACGTTTTGAGTAAATTTAATATTATTAAGATTCCATTTTAATTTATATGTTGGTTGGTTATTAAGCAGTATTTCTTGGTATTTGGGGGGTTGATTTAGAGATATATTATACATCTTTAACTTTTCATGGTCAACTTAGAATCAATATTTTACAACTCCCAATAAAATCTAAGAAATTTGTAACACCATAAATTCACTTGACATTCTCTCCTTTTATGTTATAATTGTCTTATGCATTACATCGATATCCATTATAAACTCCACAATGCAGAGTTATAGCTTTTGCTTTAAATAAGACATATGTATTTTTAGAAAATCAAGAGGAAGAAGTGTTCATATTCACCTATATAGTGTTCTTTTTTATTTCTAATGTTCTTCATTTCTTTCTAAAGATCTGAATTTTCATCTGGTGTCATTTCCCTTCAGCCTGAAAAGTTTCTTTTAGAATTTCTTATAGTATATGCCTTCTAGTGACAAATTAGCTCTCTGTCTCTGTCTCTGTCTCTGTCTGTCTATCTCTCTCTCATTCTTTTTTCTGAAACATCCTTATTTTGCTTTTATTCTTGAAGGATATTTTCCTTGGATATGGGTTAAGAGTTGACAGAAATTTTTTTCTTTTAACATGAGGAAGTCACTTCACAAACTTGCTCCAGTTTCTGAGACATCCTTAGTGTTTATATATTTCTTTCCCTGTATATAATGTGTTATTTTTCTCTGGTTGCTTTCGAGATTTTCTCTTTATTTTTGATTTTCAGCATTTTGACTATGATGTGTCCAGGTATTATTTTCTATGCATTTATTCTACTTAGGATTGCTGTGCTCCCTGAATCTGTTATTTTATATCTTTCATCGAATTTGAGGAATTTTTGACCATTATTTTTTCAAATAGGTTTTTTTTTGTCCCATTCTCTCTTTTCTCATTTTCCAAGACTCTAATTGTAGTGTTTTAGGCCATTTGATATTGTTCCACAGGTTCCTGAGCTCTGTTCATTCTTTTTCATTCTTTCTTCTTGTTATTCATTAGATTGGATTATCAGAGTGCTGTATCGTCAAGGATTTTGATTTTACCTTTAATCATCACCAGTCTGCTGTTAAGCTTATCCAGTGATTTTTATTTCAGATATTGTACTTTTTTAGTTTAAGAATTTTTATCTTTTTATAGTTTTTTATTTTGCTTAGATGTCCCAATTTTTGGTCATTATGAGTAATTTTTATTTTTACTTTCTTAAGTATGCTATAATAGCTCTTAAAAATTCTTTTGTCTGCTATATCTAGGTCATTTCTGTCGATCTCCATTGATTGTCTTCTTTCTTTAGTATGGGCAATGTTTTTATCTGGGTTAAGTAAATGTTCCCATGTTTTAAAGTATGCAGATATGAAAGTCGTTATAGCAACACAAGCCCGTAATAATCAAAATATTTCTTAATATACACTTTCAAATCTTTTTTTCTATAGTTTCTTTTGAAAATCAGCCAAATTCCTCACTTAGCATTGAAACGTCAGTTTTAATTTGAAGAGATGTATTTTGTTTACTTATTTATTTAAAAAATTATCTGCAAAGGTGATTTCTACTGATAGCCATGTGTCATTAAAGAAAAGTTCAGCAAATTTGTATTGCTTGTCTTTTGTAAAAGAAAAATAGGTATCTTATCAGTAAGTTTGATACCTTTTAAGTATTTTGTTATGAAATAACCAGGGGAATCTCATGAAGTACAAAAGATTTTCATGGTTACTCTCCATCTCATTGTAAAGTACCATAGAGATCTTATTTTTGTAAAATCAATTGCATCGATGACATTCTGTAGCACTTTATACACCTCTGTTTTATCTTCTTTGCTGTAATTGTTTGTTTTTGAATGGTAGGGTGTATAAATTTCATGTGATTTTTTTTGTCTATAACTTAGTCTGGAATTACTATTTTTTATTAGATTCAAATCTTCCTCTCCAACAATGGCTAGCTTAAATTATTTAATACATACATTAGAGAAGTAATTTGCTAAATAGAATAGTAGTTCTACTAGAAAATTAACATTTTCTAGTAGAGATTTAGAAATTTAGTTGTTCACTAGAAAATTAGTGTTTTGTATATGGCATTATTGAAAAAAATCTAGAATATACCCTAAGCATAAACATGTGAAAAATAGATATGCTTTCATCCAATTGTATAGCAAACTTTCCATATTGAGTAATACTTTCTTCAAATATGCAATATTTTTGTATCTTTCAATAGTATTTTCTGACAAAAGGATATCTTTTAATTTTTAGCCATGTTATTTCCCATATATTTTTTCAGCTGTTTTCTCTAAAAATAGAACAATGTTCCCCAATGGTGTATGATTTTTCTTTGGTCCTTAAGTAGGAAATTTAATATGTATTACATATTTAGTAAAATATTATAAAGGCCTGGGTTAAATATTGCATGGTATTTTGAACCACTAATAAAAAAACCATTGACATTTGTCTTCATGTTCTACATGATTAGTCTTAAGAATTACGGCTTTCAAACTATCATTAACTAATATTTCAAGGTACAGTATCCACTTAGGTTAATCTTTAAAGCTAGTGAGTATAAGTATATATTTTATAGAGACTTCTTGATAATTTTGAATTATTTGGGGCAAATTCATGTTAGGTGAAATTGCCATTGCTCTTACCTCTTAATAAAGCTGAAAACTTACTTGGGTAAAAGTATGAAGTTTAACATGATCTTATTGCCTTACACTATTTGACGTAACCATTAAAAAATGTTTTTTCATAATTTTATTATGGAATTTTGAAAACACATACAAAATATAAAAAAGAGTATAATGAACTCGATGTGCTTATAATCTAGTTTTATTAATTATCACTGTGTGGTACATCTTATTTCATCTATACCTCACCTCACATTATTTTAAATCAGTTCTCAGACAAAATATCATTTTATCTCTATATTTATGTACCTCTAAAAGTTACTATAATACTAAACACATAAAAATTAATAATATATTTTAAACATTATTAAATGTTTACTGTTCAAATTTCTCCTGTTTTATATTTTATTTTTGAATATGAAAGCAATGGGCTGAGAATACATTTTGGGAGTAGACTCTACAGTACTTTCAGTTTGGTTGAATGTGAGAGAAAAGAGAGAGGAAGAGTTTAGGATGAAATGCAATTTTCAGGGTGAGTGAGGGTGTTGTATATTGAAATAAGGAAGGATGCACAGGCGGTTAGGGTGAAAAAATAAAGAATTCATTTTAAGACAAGTGGAAATATCAAGATGGAAATGACACATTTTCATTTGGATGGATAAGTCTGGAACTCAAAAAGGCAGTGTGGCTCAGAGACAAATCTGGGAATAGATGTAGCATCTGGTTTCCAGAAAGACCAAGTCTTGATTAGAAGCTTGGAACTTCTAACGCCATCCCAGACCTCCAGGAAGGTCAGAGGGGCTGGAAACTGAGTCAGTCCCCTGTGGCCAGTGATTTAATTAATCATGCCTTTGTAATGAAACTTCCTTAAAAACCCCTTAATGAGGGGTTTGGAGAGCTTTCAGGTTGGTGAACACATGGAACTGCTGTGAGGGTGCCCCACCCATACATTGCCCTTTGAGTTCTTCTGTTTGGCTGTGCCTGAGTTGTATCCTTTATAATAACAAGATAATGATAAGCAAAGCTCTTTCCTGAGTTCCTTGAATCATTTTAGCAAATTATCAAACACGAAGGAGGGGGCAGGTTGTGGGAACCCCCTACTTCATAGTCTGTAAGACAGAAGTATGGATAATAGGGTCCCAATATGTGTGACTGGCATATGAAGTGAGGGCCGTCTTGTGAGACTGAGCCTTTGACCTGGAGCCCTTAACCTCCAGGTAGTTAGTATCAGAATTAAATTGTAGGACACCCAGTTGGTGTCAGAATTGCTTGGTGTCAGAGGGACAAAAGCCTAAGTTACACAGCCAACACGTGGCAAACCAAGACTTGAACTCTGGTCTTCTAACTCTATTACCTACGTGTAGCACATTACATACGAGAAGAACATTGCTTCAACTCTCTTAGACAAAAAGTGCACAAGAGCTGCCGACTGATAAACTCAAGTTGAAGAGAAGGGTGGGTGAAAAGGTGAAATAAAATCTCTTCCCTGATTCTATATCTCAAAATTTATCTAACATTAAGCTATTATTCTATCTACCAGGGAGTGCAAATTTTTGTCTTCCACACTGTCAAAACAAAAGTCTTCCAGAATGAAGCTTCCAAAGTGTTGAAGTCACTGTCGTCATCTTCTGGGAAAGTGCAGTCACTGCCATCACTGACCCCGCTTAGGCTGCGTGTAAGGATGTATAACATGCTCAGGTCACTGCCGGTTCTAAATGAACGCTTTAGGCTGCTGGAGCCACTTGTAGTTACCAAAGAAACAACATTCTCTGAAAGTGACCAAGCAAATACAGGCAGCTAGACAGTAAAACTGTTAGCTTTTGTGGTCCTTTTTATTCAACTTGTGTGAGTTTTCATTTTCTAGTTCCTTTCTTTATTACCCAGTCCTTCTGGAAAGTCTCTTTCAATATATTTTTCTCAAGGTTAGGAATCAAATAAAACCTTTTGTTTATTGTCATCAGGGATAATGGATTTGGATTTCTATTTAATAGATTCTTACCTAAGTGAGGTAAAGCATTCCACCCTAGCATTCAAGATAATTCAAGATTATTGTTACTCCTTATATCATAAAGTCTACGTGACAAACTTTGATAAAAATGTAGAACCTAAACAAATTCTTTTACAATTTACTAAAAAGGATAGGCGGAGAAAAATTTACCTTCTAGAACAAAACGACTTCTGATGAACACTGTGGGGAGTTGTTTGTAATGTATCATGCTTTTGATCTGTGAATATTGTAAATTTCTATGCACTTATACTTTTATTTCCAATTAAAATTTTTGCACTGCTTTAACCTCTGGAAAGGGAATTTTTTGTTGTTAAAAAAACCGAACAAATATGTTTTATAACCTGAAGAAGTGGCTCTATGAGAAATGGGAAGTGAGACATAGGAAGATTCGCTGGATATTTCCTTCTAGTTCTGGATATATCTGCCTTTTTATTGACACAGCCTCACAAAATGAAAAAGTTAGTCACAATCACCCCTTGTGGCTTTTAAAAGATCTAACTGCTTATGGAATTGCAAACACTTGAATTATAAATGGCTTCCTAAATAAAAAATGACCTCCATTGGGGTGGGGAGCACTCCCATTGGATTTAGGAGATACGGTCTTTGAATTGCTATGTTCTGTTTTGTCATAAACTAGGCAACTGCTGTGAGTGTACTGAACTAAGGGACTAACAAATGTCAGGTAAGCTGTGGCATACCCTTTTCACCACGCCCTAAAATACACGTGTTTTGCATAGAAATGGTTGTAAATGTTGGATTTCTTGGCATCTAACAAAAGCTTCTTTCATCTGTAGGATAATTGAGGCCTTACAGGATAATGGGGAAAAAAATAAAGGGAAAAGAATAAAGAAAACAGTTCTCAGTGGTCAGTATTTTTAGGGGTGTTATGGTACTATGCCTAGAGAGGGGCTGGATACAGGGAAAATTATAAGACGCGGTTGACCCACCCTATGTCCCAAAATATATATTCAAATGAAAATAAACCTTCAGTAAGAGCCATTTTAAATGTGACAAACAAACAAACAAACAAACAAACAAACAAACAAACCCAAAGAGCCACATTTAGCCTGTGGGTGGAGTTTATGTGTTATTACTTTGGTGATTTTAGTTTTCTTTGCACTTTTTTCAGCACTCTTGGGGTATAGCAACCAAAATTCTATATAATGTTCCTGGAATGGCTGTAGCATAAACATGTACAAGCTCCACATATGTATTGTGGAGGCTAAATCAGGCAGACATTGATGCACCTACCCTGAAATCCTACCATTAGGAGATAATTCTATTGATTTAAGCCTTTACCTCATGCACTGGTCAGGAATCTTTTCACGTAGTGATAGAGATCTGAGTCAAACTAGGTTAAGGGTCAAAGATAATTTAATGGCTCCATTAACTATAAAGTCCAAAGACCGAGTTGGTTTTAATTAGGGTGACCATATGTTCTGGTTTGCCTGGGCCAGCCCCAACTTACACCTGTTGTCCTGACTTAAGTATTACTGGGAGCCCCTTTTACTCTCTAAAGTGTCCTGGTTTGAAACATAAAATAAAGGATAGTGCTAACTTTAGGTCTCGAGTTGAAATGCAAAGAGTTCAAAGAATGTGTTAAGACACTTTTTCTCTCCCTGTTTTTTGGCTCTTTGTGCTTCTGTGTTTGCCTTCATTCTTAAATTGGGTATACATGGGTTGAAATTGGCCATTGGCATCTCTGTCCTTCTGCCCTGCAAATTCCCATCAGTGTTTCCCATTGGCTGCAGCCAACTAGAAGCCAGCTGAGCCAGTAACCTGTGGGGCTCAGTTCCCTGTGATATGAAGCAAAGCAAGGGGAGGGAGAGGAAAAGACCTAAGGACAGGCATGATTTGCTTGGTTGTGTGTCCACAGGCATGTGTTCAGGGAGCATTGGTTCAGCCTGGGTTACATACCCACTGTGAAGTGGAAGGATGGGGGTTGACTTGATTGACTGGATATCCTGGAGTGAAGAATAGATAGTTACACCAAGGATGGGATGCTAGCACCAAAATGTTAGGGTGCTTCCACTACATTTTCTGGCAAAATACAAGTACCCCCTGGGAAGACAATCATTTTCAGGCTCATCAATCATGTCCTTTACTCTGAATGAGCCTATTAGATCCTTGTCTGAGCAGGGTTTGAATAGGGTAGGTAAGGAAAGCAAGAAATTATTTGTTGCCTTGGAAGTTGGGGAGCAAGGATGGAGACTTAGAAGCAGAAAGGTGACTTACTGAAAAAATTTCAGAAGAGACTCAGAGTACTGTAAAACTGGTTTTCATGACATTATATATGGACAACTTTCAACGTTCTGATTTATATTGTGTGATAAGAGTGCCCTAAAGACTTTTTGTTTATGGCAGCACATGTAGTTTCTTTGGGGGAACAAACCATCTTGACCTTTGGATTTTCTTTCCAGGGTTTTAACTGACAGTTCAGAGCTCACTGTTTAATTGTTAGTCTGGATTGCTTTTTTTCTGATCCTTTCCATTTTAAAGTTTATCTTGCTTTCTTTTTTCTATCGCCAACAAATGAACATTATTCTCAGGATCATTGCTATCAGTTGGTCATTGCCTCATCAGAAGAGCTTGGCATTCTTTGCTAACGTTTGGGAAACTCAGGCCAGAAGTGCTGACTGGGTTATACCAGCCTGGCAACCACGGGAGCTCTCTGGCTCTGTGGAACCTCCTTCATGTGACTCTGGGCCTTTCAGCACCTGGCTCCACAGAAGAAGTCCCAAACAGAGCCACAGGATTAGGTTCTACCCTGGGGACAAAGATGGGGGGTAGGGTGGGGCAGGTTACATTTACATTTATATTTTTAAAACACTGTGTTAACCATTGTATAATTATTTTAAAAGATATCCACAATGTATGTATTTTTAAAAAGCAAAATCCATAATTCCATAACCAAACATATCAATAATGTCTGTTTTTCCATGTTACTTTATGCTTTCTTTGATTAACAAGAAATTTACATAACTGTAATAACAGCAAATGAAATTTTATTCTGATTTTCATTTAAAATTACCCAGTAAAGCCATCCTTATAATAATTAATGATTTCATAATGTAGCATGATTTCCTAAGTTGATTTTTTTATTGGATAGCTACATTGTTTCCATTTTTAACACTGTAGTGACACAAGATGCATAATTTAGTACACATATTTTTCCTTTCTTTTTAGTTATTTCCTTAAGATGAATCTCAGGAATTCCTTTCCATTAGAGTTATTAGCCCTTTAACAACTACATTTGATGAACGTATTTTCCCTTAGTTTATTGTTTTCCTTTCTTTTTAATATAATGAAACGCTCACTCTGCATTTAATTCAAAATATCCAAAAGATTTATAGATCATTTAGGATTCGTTGAGTTTATATGTCCTCATACAAGCAGCGTATTTTTCACTTTGTGTCAAGGAATATGTTAGGGACTATGAAGTAACTTCTAGAATGAGGAACATGGGCATAAATATGTCAACTGAGGCCAAATAAATCATGTATGACAGACACATGACATGTCTACCCTTTCATTATATCATTCAGCAGTTGGCTTGGGTTCCATGATAAAGTTATTTTTTCCTCTCAGATATGTTTTTTGACTCTTTGTGTCCATCTACCTTTTCTTAAAAATAAAACATTAAATCTTGGAGAAGAGAGGAATAGGCTATATTAGCAATTAGTTATTTATTAACACACACACACACACACCAAAGATTGAAAGTAGTGTTACGTATGCATCATCTATATTACTTCAGTTACATATGAGTAAACTATTAAAACATGTATTTAAAAACAATATATAAAATTTGCTGAAAAACTGATTAAATAAGAAAATCAGGAGCAAGGGAAAATAATCATAGGAGCAAAAAGTAAGAAGCCAGGGATAAGATTTGTACCCAAGAAACATGTCATATGGTCTTATATTTTTGCCAGGAGTTGGCCACAGAGGAGACCATAAGCTTCCTGACACCTGATATAAATAGAGAAACATGATCAAACAAGTCTCATATCTCAACAATTTAACAAACAAATAAATGTTTCTTAGGAAAACACATAGTTATTCCAAAACTACTTGAAATTGGCATTGATAAGTTTTCTTAAAAATGTCCACATGGGTATATTATCAAATGAGAGGCAAACTATTTTGAATGAACAAAAAAGCTATCAAATTTGGAAATGCAGCATATTCACATCCATGTCTGCCAGTGTGCTAAGTGCACACTAAACAGTCATGGTGATGTTTGACATTACTCCAGAGTTATACAATACTATGTATATACAAAGATACACACTTAATGCACCATAGGAAAATTCAGCATCACAAGGAGATCACTGAAAACTATTTTTTGTTTTGTTGTTTTAAAAATATTACAATGGCTTTCCTTATTTTGGCTATTGGAGATAGTTTTCTGTTTTGTTTGCTTTGGTAGGGGGCTTGCTCTTTTTTGTTTGTTTTACGTTTTAAGTTAACTGACATATAATTTACAAGAAGTAAAATGCATCCATTTTAAGTGTACAATTTGATGAGTTTTAATAGATATACACACCTGTGAAACCACAACCCCAAACAAGATTAAGAACATTTCCATCATCCTATAACATTCCCTGGTGCTCCGCTCCAGTTAACCCCCCACCCCCAGCTCTAGGCAACCACTCATCTGCTTTCTCTTACCACATATTAGCTTTGCTTGTTCTAGAATACCAGTCTCACTTCTTTCACTCAGCATGTATTTGAGAGTCACTCATGTTGGGTGTATCAGTGGTTTGTTTCTTTTTTATTGCTGAGTAGAA